AGGTTGAGACGACGTATTTCCTGTTGCAAACGTGACAGGATCAGTCTCTCAAACGTCTTCCTTAGGATGGAGAGTAGACTAATAGGCGAATAGCTGGTCGGGATTAATTTATTTTTGCCAGGTTTTGGTATTGCGCAATGGTCGCAATCCTCCACGCTTTGGGAAAATAGCCGCCCGCCAGGCACATCAATGAGCGGGCTCTCTGGGAGGGGTGGAAGAAGGCGATGTGCGCGTAATCGGACGGCGTGGAGCAGCGTGTACCGTGCACGGTCTCGACCGCGCGTCCAGGTATCGTGGAAACGTAGAACTTGATCAGCATTGAGATTTTGGGGATGTTTAATAATTTCTATTGCCTCTTTAACTCTTCTAGTTCCCCCGCGATCTTCTCTGGCCAGGAGGCGTGTCCCCAACGGTCATCAAATGAAATGGTGTGTTTCCTCCAGTTTTCCATACGCAGAGGGCTACGGCTGATTTATCTGTATTATTGTACATATAATGGCGAATGTGTTCCCGGAGGCGTTCCTCTATGTTCCGTCCCGTCTCGCCAATGTAGTTGCTTGGAATCTGGTATGGCCCTGATGACATGAGAGGTGGTACGCCTATCTTTCACACGTTGAAGCTTTTGTCCGAGTTTTTCATGAGCTTTGTAGGCTGTCTTGATGTCGAAGCGGTTCAGAAGCTTGCCAATTTTATCAGTGACCCCTCTTATATAGGTAGAATGGCCATCCTGGGGGTTGGAATCATCATTGGGTGTGGTGATGTCAGCGATGCTAGAGGTGGTCGTTGTCTGCCGTACAGCTTGGTTGGCAGCGTTGACACTGTATCCATTAGCTCGAAATGTGGCTTTTTAAGAGCTCTATTTCAGAGTCCAACGATTTCATATCACACACTCTAGTTGCTCTCATAGCCAAAGTTTTCAGAACCCCTCGTTTTATTTGCCAGGTGATGATGAGACCGGAGTGCAGGTAGCGGTTGGTGAAAAAACATACGTCACCAAACAATTGCCGGGAGTACGGCGTTTTTATTTACACATATTTATATACACAGGAAACAATAATTACAAATCGACAAAAGAAACACTAAAAAACAAATTTAACTAATCATTACTCAAAAATCACTTATTAATAACAAAAAAAGAAATGTGCAGTTCAAAACATTCGTAAAAGAAAATCCAGAACTTCCAGAAACTGTTGTTTCATTTGAAGTGTGCGGTTTTGAAGGTTTGCCTATGTTTGGGGTCTCTCCCCCGGATACATTTGTCTTGAAGATTGTAATCTTATTTGCAACTGACTCTTCATGTATTGTTCTGCGGCACCAGTTGAACGCCATTCGTATTTTTCTCTTCCATCCAAGTTACAAATTTATCATATTATATTTCATAATTTTCCGCTGATTTTCTAGGTAATAGCGACAAGTTTGCTTTAGCAACTTCATTATTAATTGCCTCTGGTAAATCCATTTCACAACGAAGAATAAACACCCCAGTCAACCACGGCCACCCTTATTACAGTCGGCCTTGTCCTATATTATGTAGATTTAGATTTATTTAGTCAAAAAAACAGTAAAAACTATATGTGACGTAAGGGGGAAAAGATTATCTGCGAACGTTTTCTTGAGTTCCAGAATCCCTTCCCGTCATTTTAACTATAAGTAGTTGAAAGATGAGTAAATGTTTAACATAAATAATTTTTAAAAATCGCAAGATAAGCAATATTTGAAAAATAGTCATTTTCGTTTCTGAGTTATAGAAAACTTATTTGCATCAGTACACGAATTGCAAGTATGATTTTTCTGCATTGCTAACAAAATGGCAACTCGCCTTTACCTCTTCGCTTACCATTACAAGCAAAAGAAGAGCTCAACAAGTCGTGCGCATAGTGAAACTACATTTAGGTCCAGAAGCAAAACAAGGGGCTATCTCAGCATTTGCTCAATGGATCAGGGAAACTGGACAAAAACCTGATGTAGATGGGGGTCATTGACCCGGAAGCTGAAGTACATTATTTGTTAGAAACATATTAAGTCTTTTTAAAAAAATTAAACAATACAAATGTAAACTAATTCATTATATATCACTTTTTTGTTAAAATATATATTATTTTTCTTTTTGATAATCAGTATAGTCTCTAATTGTATAGAAACAGTTATGCAGCAAAAAATATTTTATTTTCAACTTAAATTTGTGAGCCGACTTCAATTGTTTAATGTCATCTGGCAGTGCGTTGTAAAGTAACGTACATGTATTGTACGAGAGTTGCCTTTTATATTTCCGGATTAGAGAACAAAAACAAATATTAATCATCGAAAATCACTTTATGGTTTTTCAAAATATTTCGCATGAAGATCTATACACTTTTGCATGCGTTTGAACCAATTGTCGAAGCACTTTTGCCACTCTGATTGAGGTCTCTCCAAAACATGCATTCTGAATGCAGCAACCGCTTCTTCAGGTGTCGAAAAACTTGACCTCTCAGTTTGTTCTTTACGTACGGGAATAAAAAGAAGTCATTCGGTGCCAAGTCAAGACTATACGGCGGATGACTCATCAAATCCATGTTTTGGGTGCTCAAAAATGCAGTTGTTTGAGCCGATGTGCGAGAGCTCGCATTATCGTGGTGAAGAGTGATCCATCTTCGGCGGTTGGTTTTCCTGATTTCTTGGAAGACAGCTGGCAAACAAATCGTTGTGTACCACTCAGAATTGACTGTTCTGCGTTATTCTAGTGGTACGGTTGCAACATATCCAGTTTTTTTGAGAAAAAAACAGGCGACCGTCTGTTTGGAAGTGCTTCGTGCGCGAACATTTGTTGGATTTTGCTCATTTTGAAACACCCAGAGTCGACTGCTGTTTACTTTCGGGCTCATACACGTAAATCCACCATTCATCACCTGTCACGATATCATAGACGTGTTTCGAAGCACCGCGATCGTATTTTTTGAGCATTTTTTTGACCAATCGACACGAGCCTTTTTTTTTTTGAGCGATTGACAAATTATGTTGAATCCAACGCGAACAAATTTTTTTGACAGTCAAATGTTTAAGCGATATTGAATGTATGCTGATCCCACTAATGCCTAAGGTTGTCTCAATCTCACGATAGGCCACATAGCGATCTTGCAATATCAGTTCACGCGCAGCATCAATGGTTTTTGGAACAACAACTGGTTTTGGACGACCTTCTCGAAATTCGTCTGGGAGTGAACTACGACCACGACTGAATTCACCTTGCCATCGATAAACACTGGTCCTTGATGGAGCTTCATCGCCAAAAATTGAATTAAGTTCATCCATGCACTGTTGCTGAGTTAATCCACGTCGAAAGTTGTAAAAAATAATCGCACGAAAATGTTCACGATTTAATTCCATTTTTGGGGCAAGATGAATCTTTTAAGTTACTGTAAACAACAAAAATAGCGCTCGTATGTCAAAACGTTCTGAGTACGTATAACCTCAAAATATCCAATTTTGCGATAGAGCTGTCCGTTGCCAGATTGCAACACCAGGGTTTCCAAATCCCGAAACATAAAAGGCAACCTTCGTATGTGGATTTCTGATAGTGAGCTGTTGACACTGACACTTGATGAACGTGATTTTTACGTGTGTTGTAATTATAAATATCAGTATTGCATGAAAACATGTTCCCACCGTTAAGTAAGTCACTTTTGACAAATATTACAGATTCGTAAATATATAGGCAAGGTAGTGGTAAGATTCCAAGCTCAATGAAGGGAGGCTTGCAAGGGTAACACGGATGGCATTTTTTCATCATTCATGTACGTAACATACAATTCTACTTTTAGGATCAGTAACCATTTTACCCTTGTTATACAAAAAATAGCGTTTGCAATTCGTTTATTATATTACTTTTTGCACTCATAAGAATATCCGCATTTACTCCATTGTTCAAGCAGCTATTCTTATTCGTGCAAAAAAAGACAACATTATAAACTAATGGCATAATATACTATTATGAGCCAGTGAAGAGGGATTATTTTTCTTGCGCACCCTTCACAACTTGATCCGATGTGATTGTTGTGTTGAATTGTTCTGTGTTTGTTTTCCAGAATTGTTTTAATCGTATAAAATGGTCAAATATGATTTTTCTCGTTATAGAGAATTTAAAAGTCAATTTACAAAAAACCTATTTCTGTTATTTAGATAGAACGTCCAACTCCGACACTACCGGAACTTTTGCGCCGTCCATTAAGGGAGAGAAATTTAAGTTTTTCATAGCGTGGTGTAACAAAGCATCATGATTAAATGGATGCGAACAAAGACAAATTTTTCTTGCGGTTTTCTATGCATTCTATTTTCAAATTTGAGGAATGTTCGATCGGAGGGATGTTCGAGTGGATTCAGTGATATTAAAGATTTAGGTTGCGGAGCTCAGAGGTTCGAAAAATTACTGCAACAACTTGATTGTTCGCTAAAATTAACATTTTTTATTTAAAAAAGTCACATTGATCTAGCATTAAGCGAAACAGCCAGTGTTTCTTTTGCAAAGCACAATGAACAAATTAAGCAAAATTTACTATTTTGTCCCGTTTAATTGACATTATATCTGTATTTAAATGACACTACTAATTTGCTGCATGTTTCATTTCAATTAATTAAGTGTTTACCAATTGCTTCTTTCCTCCTCCTCTCACATGAGACGCACCTACTTGAAGAACAGAACGACGAAAATAAATATTTTTCAAGCAGTAAAATATTAAGGAAGATGCTCAAGGTCTGAGGTAAAATGGTTTTCATTTAGGATGTCTGAAATCTTCGTAGAGAATTTAAAAGTCAATTTAAAAAAACCTATTTCTGTTATTGTCTATTGTTATGTCCATTCTATCCCATAAGTCGCTTAGTTTCCTGCGAATGCCGGAAAAATATTTCTTTTATCGTTGATCGACATTGATTCTATTATCTATCGATGCTGAAATTCTGACGTAATGCGCCCTATCTTCGTCGTAATTCGCTTGTCATCCCTATCATGGAGATTATAATTCACGATTAGCCGGCCGTAATAGCTGCCGTCGTGGCCGCATCGTGGCGTTGAGTGTCCGTGGAAACGCGGGGCGTATTTGTATAAAGTACAGATTCTTTTTGGTTTTGACAGTTCTTTCAAATGTGTTTGGAGACCGTAGTTTTAGTATCTGATATTGCATTATTGCTGCATATATTTACATTAAAAGAAATACGCTGTCAGTGTGTGCCATAGCCTAATTCTGTATTTGCTAGGAGTGTACCGTGCTGTGATTACTACATTTCACTGTAACTCTACTTTTTTTTTAGTGGAATAAACCGCAAGAAAGTGCGTGGTGAATGTCTTCGGAATGAGGAAAAAGGAAATATCATAATGAAGGGTCTTTTGGCCCAATATGTGTATGTGGCTTTTGTAGTAGCAACATATTGGTGAGAAGAATTATTTTTATAATTTCTTACAGTCATAAAAATGCGTTATTATAATTTTTGTTGATTGCTTTTTCTGAGGCTTAATATGAAGGTATAAATTAGTCTGTTGACATGACATTACTGTTTGTTATAGGGTAGTATCTATATGCACTGTATTTGTAAACAAAATTTTACTAAGTGGCTCTTCCGTGAATCTTGATGCTCCGTTATTTATGGCATGGTTCCAGTGTGTAGTGTCAGCATGTTTATGCCTTATACTCAGTACTTTGGGAAAACATTTTCCAAATCATGTCAAGTTTCCAACAGAATCACCATTGAAAAGAGAGTTAGTTGTGAAGGTAAGAAGCTCTTGACTTTTAAAATGACATTTAATAACTTTAGTATGTTGTGATATCTGAGTGGCAATTTCGTATAAAATGCAATGAAACTTTTCTAATAGCTTGAACAATGGGTGTGTTGTATAAATTGTGAAGGCTGAAGGTTGGACAATTGGCATTGACACATAATTTAATGAGGTACCATTAAAGAATTCTTATATTATATTACTTTTATAAAACCATTCTGCTGTATCATAGTCTATGTATGGAAAACAATTTGTGTATTTAGAAATCCAGATCTTATGCAAGTAGATGCTACAATTGTATAAATTTAATAATAAAATGTATTCTTGATGTAAGCTAACAGGGTTCAATGACCAAATAAGTGATGAAGGAACAGGTACAGGTAAGAATGCTAAATCTTAAGGAGATATGTCCATCCTAAGAAATGAATACTTGGCACCGAGGTACCTCTTGTACTTACATTTTTAAAATTTGCCTCAAATGCTAGTGGCCCTGAGAAAGAAAATTGAAAGGAGTTGTGTGTGTGTGGGTGCTTTGGGTTATTTTAGAAGTTCTGTAAAAAAACAACTAGATGTGTGCATTAGGAAGGTAACATTGCTTAGAAATCTGCAAGGAATAGTTCTAACAAATGAAAGAACCTAATCTCTAATTGTTAGTATACAACGTTACATAAATAGAGATATGACTCCTGTAATTTTAATTTTTTACTAGTGGTTCATAATTTTTAGCGATCACAAAATGGAAAACTGCAAAATCAACTTGATATTATCGTACCTGCATATTTATATGACCTTTATATCACCATTTCAACTTTCTTTTGTGCAGTCTGCATACACTTTTATAGCATCATTGTAGACATGGCAACTAGGCAATATGAAATGTTTATTTAACATCCTACATTCTTTGAGGAGCATTATTAACAAATATGCAGTAATTACCAGATGACTGAAAGAATTTAGTGGTTTAATGATGTGTACATGGTAATAGCAATGTTGATTTTTGTTTTTTGTAGTCAATAATCAATATTCTTTATTCACTTCATTGCTAGCTGACTGTCAATATTATTTATTCACTTGCTGGTAGCTTATTAACCCTTTACAACTACACAGTAGGGTCTCAGAAACATTTTGTGAATCGATATACGCTTGGAACCAAAAGTATGCATTTCTGTTCAAAATGACTCGAGGCATTACAACATCTTGATTTTATCTTCAAAATTACCCCACAAAAACTTGCTTTTTTTAAATAGTCGCGTCAACATCTGAGGTCATTAGCGACATTATTTGTTGTCTTGAAAAGTTAAGAAGTTGAAATGTGTAATGCACAAGCTTTGACGTCATTCACATTCAAATACATTTTGGATTGTTGAAGAGTTTATATACATTTTAAATTGATGAGAGAAGCATGTAGAAAATGTAAATTAACAATGAATTATATTTTTGGTGGTTACATTATCTGTAGTGAGAAATTAATTTTCTTGTTTTGGGGTTGATAACAATGCATTTTATTCTATATAAAATAGACGGGAAATAACGTTAGAGGTACAGACTATATCTTTGACAGTTATGTTTACGTTCATGACATTTTCAGAGTAAATAAAGTTTGTGGACTATATTAGAACAAAACAAAATATAATATTTGACAGATACCAAGCTTTACAAGAAGCATTTGCAATGAAGAAATATACACGTTTGAACAGCACAGAATTTTTAGTTGAAACTGATTGACCAGAAGTTTGTCAACACAAAAATCAGTAGATATAAATATTTAATAAGTAGTATTTTATCCTCTAAAATATCTTGCATCACAAAATAGTTATATCTCATGCAATCTTAATGTTTCTTCAAAACATTGTTATTTAATATTGCAGTTAATGATATTGTCGAAGGACTATCTGTTTTATTTTGATGTATGCAGATGATATAAAAATATTTCTGCATATGACATGTACTGAAGACTGTGAAAACTTACATTATAACTTTAATAGTTTTGTTCAATGATGTGTCCAAAATATGCTATTATTAAATCTTAATAAATGCCAAGTCATGAGCTTGGATGTTTTGTTTGTCAGGCTGTAAACTTTTAAACCTCATCCAGAATCAGTCATACATTCTACCAATAAAATTGAGATATTTACTGAGACATGGTAGGAATTTTAAAAAGGTGAATTCATTGCAGTTTCTATATTATTCTTATGTGAGATTCCAAACTAGAATGTGCACCTGTCGTTTGGATTTCAGATGAAATAGGGTTCATTAAGTGTCTTGAGACTTGTCCATGGCGGTTTGCAAAATATTTCATATTTAAAAATGCTGGAAGATATCTTCCATGAATAATTAACAGGGGTTTCTCTATACAAAATTCAATCTACAAACCCTTGAGAGGAGGAGGCATTTGAGCCAAATTGTTTTTTTGATAAAATAAGTTAGAGGCATAATATAATGTCCACAATTACTTTCAGAAGTTGCATTCTTGATTCCCACGTACAATAGTCATTCCCACAGACTATTCTATATCAAATAACTAACATTCATGTATTATGTATGCAAGACTATTTAAAATGATGGTATGAATTATTATTTTTTTAGTTATCAATGTGTCTGATGTAGATATCTTTGTTGATTCCATCTCATAGTTAGTTACCAATTCTGCTGGACTTGTATTAAACTTATATCTAATAAATAAATAAAACACTAAACCAAAGAAATATTTGTTTAAAATGTATTAGAAGGTAATAAATTATGCTTTTTGCTCAAAATATTAATTAAAATAAAATTGTATTTAGTGATTTGTGTGCATTCGCTAGTTTTGTTGAGATCATCAAGTAATGTTTGCCTTAGACACTAATGTGCAGATACTTTACAAAAGCCTGGGCCATTAGGGGTTAAAATATAAAAATGATAAACATTTTCAAAAACTAAAACAAATATGAAGCAAACCTAACAATAGTCTCAAATGAGGAATTGAACATGACAAGAAAGCAGGTAACAGGCAATAAGTGAGTAATAATATTGAAAGTTAACTTAATAAATAAATAATTAAATTAAATATTGTTACCAATGCCAGTTTATTTGTTCAATAAGTTGTTAGAGAATGAACATTGTTTGAAGCCAAGTGCTATGAAGGTATGTGGGTTGGCCGATGTATGATTTTCTCATGTGTGTTCAGAGTTTTCTGATGGCTCAATATGTGTTGATTTGCAATTAAATATGTTTCAGGTTATACCACTATCTATGCTCTTCACTCTGATGATCACTTTCAATAATCTTTGCTTAAAGTATGTTGATGTTGGTTTTTACTACATTGGGCGGTCTCTGACAACAGTCTTTAATGTGGTCTTAAGTTATGTCATTTTAGGTAAGATCTATTTGTGTAAAATATAAAGACTTCATCAGGCAAAGTAGTCGGTTGTTTTTCTTGCCGCGAGACAAATAGTATTAATTTTAATTTAGATTCAAATAACTATCTTTCAACCTATTTAAAAAGTGACATTCCTTACAACAATTCATTTAATTTTGTTAAATTGTAATGAAAGGGAAAGTGTGCTTTAGAAGCTCCTGATTTGAAATTTGACTACTTAGAATGATGTTTAATATTTGAAATATGACGATAAAGCAGGTAAGGCTTGTAAAGTCAGTGAAAAAGGGCAGGAGAGGTCTGGAAATATTACAATAATATGAATTAAGAAGAACACATTTTTGATTAAATGCATTCTTCGAAGGGTTAAAGTCAACATTTCTTATTAAATGCTTATAGAAATATTTTTTGGGTTCCGAAGTGAATGACGTTCCCTCAATGGGCGATAGTTCAAGACTGAAGTAAATTAAATGAGTTATTTTTAAATTAATACAGTGTGAGCAAATGCAAGTAATGTATCTGCAATTGAATTTAAATAATATTTTAAACTTTTAAGGGCGTAATATTAATTTATTATTTTTATTTACAAAATTAGTCTGTGGTCAACTGATTGGAAACTTGTTTGAGATTGACAATTTTCACCTACAGATAGTGCTGAAAGCAGTATGCAATATTTGTATGATTAAGGAGTTGGATGGAAAATGGCTTAACCCTGAAAACAGAATTTTAAGGGAAAAAAAAATTACCTTTTCTCACGCGATTTAACCAGATTTCTTTTATTAGTGGGTAATTTAGCATTAAGTACTACATTTTTTAAAATTTCATTGGGAAAGCTTTCCAACCACTAGATTTAAAGAAAAGTAAATATAACAATATAAGTATTATCTGTGCCTGTTTTCTTAAGCCCCCATTTCACTAGATCCAAGAGGACTTATATCAAACTTCTAGCATTTTTTTTCTTCTTCCCAAAGCAAAATATTTTCTAATATAATCGAGTCAACAATTTTGCTTAAGAGAATTTGTCAACAATGCTCATCACTATCACATATTCATAATTCAATTAATGTTAGTAAAACATAGAGGCAGGAATTCCGGGCCTCAAGAGAGCATGATCTTGTAATCGGCTGAAGTTTACTTATGGGGAATCTATATAATACACACACTCAATTTTTTGGTAATCCGCTGTCAACCCAACAATTGTAAGTTTTCATAAGTCGTTGGACCAACTGTATGGCGATTGAGGTGCAGCACAACAGTGGTGATGAATTAAAGTTAGTAGGAATTGAGTAGCTAACAAGGCATGTTTAGAGCGGCACCTGGGTGCCAAGCACTTGCTCCTTGTTTTCAATACATACAACGTAATTCATGAAGGCCACAGTCTCAGAGTAATTTTTGAAAAATTTGAATCAGTGGTTGGACAGACTCGATGTTTCATGTTAATCGGTAGGCGAAAGGCTAGAACCTTCTCATGTATTTTAACGTGCACACCGAAGCCATACTGCGCCTTCCAAGTTTTTTTTCTGATTTTTAAAGAGAGGCCCAGAAAAAACATGGGTATGGAGCAGAGTTGCATGGGGCCCTCTTACTTTAAATAAATGCCCTTCGGGTTCCACGTTGGACAGATTAAGTTTTATGCCGTGTAAAATACCATATAACTTCATGGGTCAAAGCAATTTTCCAGTTAAGGCAGGTTTCTGGCTTGTACGAGTTCTGGTTTTGACAGATTTAACTGTACTATGTTTTAGATGAAAAATATGCTTAAAAAATGCTGCTACAAAAGTACACAAGTTACAGTTGTGTTGCATATGCTTACAAAAATCACTTGTTATGTCATGTTGGATAAATCAATTCACACTTCACTTTTGAAATCTGTGAGGTTTATCACTGAGAACAACCAAAAATGGCGATGATTCCCGTAAACTATATCCACAATATCTGTCTTATACTCTTTGATTCTTTCTTTATTTTCATTTATTATGTTGCTCTCGAGACAGATTTTAAAATCAATACTTGATGTCCATGTTAAAGATAGGAATTTAAAAATAAAATAAATATCTTCTTTTTGAACCGTATTGGGAGCAGTATTTGAGTCTGAATTGTGTAGGAATGTTAATATCAAGTTGCCTCAAATGTATTTGCTATTATATCATCATATAAAAATGAATGTTCACTAAAATAAAGAATTTTTTGTCTGTGTGAAATATATTTATTGATTGTCACTATCTCCTTATTGGATAGGCAATTATTTTGGACATGTGTTTCACCCAATCTTCCATGTTGAGACCTTGTTACTGTGTATTAATTTAGTTCAATAATTTGATTTAACGAGAGTATTGTTAAATTCTCCGGCAAGGTGATTATTGCTTTGAACAATTAATGTCTTCTTCTTCTTCTCCATTTCAAGGATTAGGCAGAAATGCCTGTTCCGTCTTCACTTTGCACTTCAGGACCATCTCTTTCCGGGTCGGCCAATATCTCTTCTTCCCTTCGGTTGGTAGTTCATCACTAATTGTGGAATACGATCTTCCTCCATTCTTTCCATATGGCGCCGCTATTCTTTCCTGTTTTCTAAGATCCTTTCATTTATGTTGTATATATCTAGTTCTTTATGGATATCCACATTTCTCATCTGGTCTTGTTTAATGCAGCCTTTAACTTTCCTAAGAAATCTCATTTCTGCTTCTTGGAGCTTATTTTGGTCTCTTTTTTTCATTATCCATGATTCACTTCCATGCAGGAGAACTGGAGCAGCTATTGTCTTATAGAACTTCATTTTTGTGTCCTTCCTTGCTTTGTTCTGTAGTGTTCTGTTTATTATTCCACATATTGATTGAAATTTATTAGTTTTATTTTCTATGTCTTTATCTGTGTCATAACTGATGTCACAACCAAGCCAATTAAAATTTGAAGTCTCGTCGATCACTGTGTTGTCAATAACTATTTTTGAGCGTATGGGATACTTACCGTAATGGGCCATAACTTGAGTCTTCTTTTTAAATATTTGGAGATTATACTCATTTCTTCCTAATTGATGCAGTGTGTATACAGCTTTTTGCAAATCATCTTCACTTTCTTGCAGTATTGTTACATCATCTGCATAAAGTAGAACATTTAGGGATGTATTCTGCTTCAACTGTATTCCAGAACTAGCTATGCATCTCCATTTTTTAATAAGGTCATCAGTATATATATTGAATAGTGTTGGAGATAAACTACATCCTTGTTTAAGTCCCCTATTTATTAATATTTCTTCAGTCTTCTTTATGCCAGTATTTATTATAATTTTTGTCTCGTGATACATATTTTTGATGGTTTTTATGAGGTGTTCAGGATAGCCACTTTCGTTAATTATGTTCCATAGCTTGGTCTGTCCACGCTATCAAAAGCTTTCTCGAAGTCAATAAAGGCTATATGGGTTTCCTTATTTACTTCTCATTGTTTTTCTAATATTCTTTTAAGACTAAAAATGTTGTCGTTACAAGAGCGTCCTTTCCGAAATGCAGATTGTTCTTCTTGTAATTTAGCCTCTGCTATAATTTTCAATCAAGCGTTGATAATTTTTGCAAATACTTTATAAGCGGTGTTCATGAGGCTGATACCCCTGTAGTTTCCACATTCATTTCTTTTACCTTTTTTAAAGATAGATATGACCTCTGTTATTTTCCAGCTATTGGGTGTCTGATAAGATTTCCAGCATTTGTTGAACAGATGAAGCAGTCTAAATTCGCTTAGGGGGCTTGCATATTTTATGAGTTCCATGTTAACTCTATCAGGACCACATGCCTTCCTGTTTTTTATACTGTTCAAGGCTTGCTTTAATTCATCCAAGGAGATGGAATCCACAGTATTGTTGTAGCAATTAATGTTGTTAATTATATTATGAAAACTAAGTTAAATCTACTGCTTATTTTAATTTATTTAATTGCAAATTTGTCTTAATCTTATTATTTAAATTCATGTATGATATTATGTGGTTTATATTTGCCAAGGTTAAATGAACTCTGTTCTAATATCTTACTCTGTCCATTAAATGTGTTTCTGTGTTATTTTGCATTAATTGTGGTTATTATTCAAAGAACAAAAATTTCATCTTTGCCTGATGTATTCTTATATTAATTAAGTTTGGAAATTCCTGCATCCTTTGAAAATTACATTGGGGATGACATAAACATTGTATGTATCAATTATACATATGGTTTTATAAAATTTCAGGGCAGAAGACGTCTTTACCTACTCTAGTCTGTTGTAGTGTAATTGTTGGAGGTTTTTGGCAAGGTGTTGTGCAAGAGGATGTTGCAGGTTTGTCATTTTTCTTGGTCAAAATTACTATTTCTCGTTCATTTACATTAATAAAAAAAATCTTTTGTAAAATAATTCTATTATACTCTCTCTGCTATTATCTCTCCCTGCAGGTTTGAGTCATTTTTCTTTGTCAAAATTACTATTTCCCATTCATTTACATTAATAATAAAAAGTCTTTTGTAAAATAATTCTATTTTTTGTAATATTCTTTGGGTCTTCCTTGAGGTGATGTTTCTGCTGATTTTTATGTAGTTTTCTTCAGGGAGTTTGGATTTCAGGTTCCCTGTCAATATCAGGAATGGTCTATGGAATACTGAGTTCTTTGTTCTTATCTTTGTACTCCATCTACACAAAGAGAGTTTTACCACATGTAAATCAAGAAATATGGCTTCTGTCATATTGCAACAATGTGTACTCGTGTATTCTATTCCTACCATTGATTCTTATCAACAAAGAAATTCCAGAAATTTACAAATATGAGAAAATATTTGATGTGGTGTTTTGGACATTGATGTGTATTGGAGGAATCTGTGGCTTTGCCATAGGATTTGTTACAGCTCTTCAAATTAAGGTAAGTTGCTTTTATGAAGTCAGTTAACTACTAACCACATAGTAAGTTGCAATCATTTGTAAAATACAGTCTTTATGTTTCACCCTTTAAATGTAGGTCATGGGTAGATCCAGAGATGAAAGTTGGGGGAAACTGTTTTGGTAAATTCAAATTAGAAAAGTTACATAATTAATTTATACAGATTCAGAACTTTCATGTTTCTTTTATACAGTACCTTTTACTGTGTGTTCAATCTAGTTGATTTTTTGGCCCAATTCTGAGAAGGAAAAATTTTGGGATAAGTAATCACAAGAATTGATGATACTCTGTATTAATATTGTTATACATAGAAAGTTAATTATTTTAAAAAAAATTTATTGTTTCTGTTGGGATCTGAGAACTATTTTTCCCAGAATCCCACCTTGTCCTATGAATCTGCTGCTGAGCTTCATTACATATATTTCATGTTTCTGCAACATAAACAATGATTTTATTTCCAATTAGAGACCAAAAACAGGCATAAGATTAACATGAAGCAAGAAGATTAAAAAAAGTAATATTATTTAGAATAGTACAAATTATCCCCTTAATCATATTAGTATTATTATATGCAGCTAAGGTCTGACGTCTAGAAAAAGTCCTATAACAGTATTTGGCGCTTTGGAGCGCTCTAGTAGTGTAATTTATCAACATAACAATGGTTTAGCTCTAAAAGTTGTAAACATGCTACCAGAGAGCCTCAACAATTGCTTAATTATTTGACTGGCAAATCAGAACTGTTTTGTAGATGTGTATAACTCATGTCAAACTAACTAATGTTTTTGAAATTGTCACTGTCATAGACCATGTATGTAAATATTATAATACAGTACTTATAAAACACAAATGGCTCACTATATGTGAAAGAATTCCAAAACTAAATCTAGACTATGCTCCAGGAAGCTAGAGAAGCATATTCACCTATCAGTTTCGAAAAGAACTGTGTATAATAATAATAATAATAATAATAATAATAATAATAATAATAATAATAATAATAATAATATATTTATCACATAAATATACCATACACCATCTACGACAAATTGGAATATGTTTATAAAATCATGCAATACACAATACAGATATTTCTAAAATTTAAATACAAGACATAATTTAAATTTTAAATTTAATTCTCGTATTAAATACAATATCATGGAAAGCTAATTAATTTTATGCATGGTAGTGTAAGAAGACTTTAGTTAAAAATCAATAATAATAAAAAAGAAATTCTTCATAGATTCATTCCTAGGCTGGGTCCGTCCTTTATATCCAACAACCAGTTTAGGGGGGTTTGAAAACATGCAACAGAAAATGCAAAAAATTTTAGTACTAGTTTATATTGATGTAGACACGTGTTTATGATGCATATATTCTTTTGTACTGTAGAATGTGTGGTTTAACAGGAAAGCTTTCAGTTTATTTTTGAATGTGTGCAAATGTATGCACGCAGTCCTAAAGTTGTGGGTCAGATTTATATACATGGCTACCGAGTGTTAAATATTTTTTAAACATTTGAATAACAACCTAGAGGAAAGTTGCAGGTGTTACGCTATGAAGAAATCAGTAGACACAAATGTTACTATTGTGTCTAACTCAAAAACTAGTTCCAGGTTCTTGGAAATGATCTGAGTTAAGTTTCTTAAGATATAATCTACAAAATGAGAATGTTTTGGACCTTATATTTCATTTAGAAGATATTGAGGTTTTTTTTAGGGGGGAGGTATCTCTTTAATACAAGTGATCATAAGCAAGCTGGAACGAGAAATGTTCATGATTCTTTTTTGAAAGAAATGATTGACTACTTTATATTCTTAATCATTTTTGTCTGCCTTTCGGTTTGTTAGTAAACCCTTAGCAACATAAGTATGTTTACTTGCGCACAGCCTGAAGCCGGTTTGATGCAACCCATAGTTCTCAAGGTCTGGCTGTTCAAAGTTGTATTCCGCATGAAGCTACATCATTTTTAAAACTACAATAAACTAAGTGCTCCTAATCCAGGGATTTTTCATTAAACAGCAATTTATGTGCATTTGTCTTAATGGCTTTTATTTTATTGTAGGTGACATCACCTTTGACGCACAACATTTCTGCCACTGCTAAGTCATGTGCACAAACTGTTTTGGCCTCGTACATTTATCGAGAGATAAAACCCTGGGCTTGGTGGATATCCAATTGGGTTGTATTGGGAGGCAGCGCTGCATATACATGGGTCAAGCAGAGAGAAATGGAAGCATCGTATGTGTCGAAACCATCTGTTAATGTGTAATGCAATGTTTGGATGTGTGTGTATGTGTATGAGTAAATGGAGAATTTTTAGCATTTCTTTTGTTGGAACACACAATGTTTCCCGTAATATTTATTTAATAGTCCTTAGAATAGCAAAAAACAGAAGTTGTTTGCAGCACAATTGGTAGGGTAGCTGGTCTGTTGCTGGGTGACTGAAATTGAATTTATAAAAAGAATATTCTAGTTTCTGAGAAGCAAATTCTCCAGAGAATATATGAAGTTTATAGTTTTGGGGAAGACTTTTACTTATAGTATTTGAAATCTGATATAAGAAGAGAGTGTGAAAAAACTAAGAATTTTGGCAAATGTACCATTAGCAAAGAATTATGGCCTAATATACTGATTGCATATAACCAAAGAGGCAGAAAATCACTGTTGCGCAACTTAACTTCAACAGCCTTCATTAAAATGGACCCAAAGGGTAGCTCGAATTTCTGAGATAAAAATAAAATTACAAGAATTGGAAAATAGTCTTCAGAAAAAAGTTACATTGATGTGAAAGGAAAATAAAATTTAGGAAGAAATATTATAGTCGAAAAAAGGTCATCAGATGTAAGACATAACGTATGTTTTCAGTATTTGCCGTGGAACTTTGTTCTAGATCATGTGAAATTTCCATTGGTCAATTTCTTTTCATTTTGTACATTTTGATTCTCTGTATCCACTATTTGACATTTCTTATAGCCTTCGTCTAACTAATCATGAAGAATTGAATAGTTAATTTCAGAAACCCGTCAAACGCCAAAATCTAAAACACATTAGCAACAAATTATTGTTCCAAGACAGTAGTCACATTGTATTGTGCGTATTTATATGAAAAACATTCATTTGTCAACTGCTTTAATAAATAAAAATATTATGAAATAAGGAAAATTGGGAGACTTTTTGTCAGCTTTCTCAAAATGAGGAGCTGTGCGTTTGACGGGTTTCTGAAATAAACAATTCAATTATTTTGAACTACCTGAAAGAGTCTGTCATTTCACAAACATTTGTTATAATCAGTGGTTAGAAAGAAAAACAAATTATATCTACAAAGTAACATGGATTAACGAGAATGCAAGTATGTACTATTATTGCCTTTATAACAGGTTTTGTTTTGGGCATACACAGTTGAGAATTACTTTACCGGCATGTAATACTAATAAGGGGCATGATGTCAGAAATTTCATGTGTTGTTAAATAAAATTAAAAACCCTGTTAAATGAATTTTCTCTCTTAAGTGCTCATTGGCAAAAAGTTATCATCTTTTGCCTCCTTAATGCCCTGTAAGTTTGCATTATTTATTCGGAACCACTCTGTGGAATTAAGAAACAAAACATTCATTAATCACCAGTAATTTATCAATTTCAAATACTGATTGTGGAGGAGAATACTGTCATATGGCATCACAGCTGTCAAGAGTGAATAATAGGAAGTACACAAAAAATCTCACACACATCATGGAGTTGAGTTTGCCACAGTCAGTCACCCATCTACCTCTGTGCTGTTATCAAAGTCCTTAGGAATGGACCATCACCATATAAATAAGAATGTTAGACTAGACTTTACCCCAAATTACCCACGGGCATTTTGTGGAAAACAAAGAGGTGTATTAAGCCACAAGACACTTTGCTATTGGCAGTTGATGTGTACCAGGATGTGTCAGCTTATTGGTGGGTACGTTCTAGGGTCATCGATTGCTGTTCTGGAGGTAGTGGTAGTAGTAGTAGTGAAAAGTAGTAGTAGTTGATAATGTTGGTAGGATAATGTTCAACGGAACATGTTTTGGGCCTATTTCTGTAATGATACAGGCTGAATTTTACCAGTGCTATCTGCAGTCAACCTATTACTGTAGTAATAAAGACAAACATTGACACCTTTATTCAGTTTATGCTGCCAATAATATCAGCACAAACCAATTGACTTGGCCTGTCGCAACCCCTCAAAAAAAAAAGTGAAGATTCTTTACACAAACGAGTCTTTTAATGGACTTCATTCTAAGTGTAATGAGTTACTGACATCATATGGGTTAAAATCATGAAGACAGAGAACAAGAGGGTAAATTCCATGACATGTATTTTTAAACATCCAACATCACTAGTTCAAACAGTGGTGATGGCATTAGACATGAATTGAAACAAACTGCATTTATAGGTGAAATTGTATGTGATATGGAGAAAAATCAGAAACAATAAAATTGTAGTGACTAAAGTGGAGTATGTAAATGTCAAAAAAATATTAAAACAATCAAAATTTTGATGGTCATAGAATTAACATATGATATTCAATTATAGAACCATCAAAAGGCTTTAATATGATGTGATGAAAAGATCTATAGTCTTCAACTGTCATAGTCTTTCACACACTGTTTTACTCTCTATCCTGAAAATCAAGGCAGTTAGTGATGTAGACCCTCTGACCTCTAAAATGTAAAGAAAACCTATTTAATCTTCAAAAGTGTACATGTAATTTTATTCAAGACATGTTGATTTATGAAGATTTAAGACACTGTTGAATATATATCCTAGGTTTTTAAAAATGAAACTTGTAGAAATTCAAGATAATTATTTTAAAAGAAACAAAAATGCAAAAAAATACACTTTTTTTTTTTTTTTTTTTTTTTTTTTTTTTTTTTTTTTTTTTTTTTTTTTTTTTTTTTTTTTTGAGGGGGGAATGACAGGTTTGAGATTTATTTGTTTAATGTGATGACAATAGTGATGAGTATGACATTGTTTTCATGCTCAACAAATAAATGTCAACCTTTTTTACCCATTCCAAAATATTATTTGTTGCTCATTTTTCTTTCAAAATAATCTTCCTGAATTTCTGCAGGTTTCATTTTTAAAAACCTAGAAAATAAATCCAGCAGTGTCTAAATCTTCATAAATCATCGTGTCTTGAATCAAATTACAGTACACTTTTAAAGATTAAATTGGTTTTCTTTTCTTTTTAGAGGTAAGCATGTGACAATGATATTTTAAGATACTGTTCATTATTGTTGTTGTGAGCGAAGTGGACATGTTAATGAATTTTGAGTATTTAAGTAAGTTTGCTTGTATGTTTGTGAAAGATATTTGTTTACATTGATTCATTATGTTGTATATTATTTATTCACTTTTTTTAGCATTTTGTCAAATTGCAAATTAAGTTGTACAACTTAAAACGACAACATAAATAGTTTTCAAATAAAAGAACAGGTTGAGGGGTGTAGAAATGAATTATCAATTTTATATTCATAGTTGTGTTGTCAGCTGGCCTTGTGTCCATGATATAGTGTGGCATTTAATTATTTCCATATCTGCTCGAGCAATGTGCTCAAGGACAACCAAAGGTAGCCCTTGGCCCCTGAATATTAAAAGGGGCCTCATAGCCCATTATAATAAAACATTTTATTTCCGAAAATATTTCGTTCCTAATTTTTTCCCTTTTTTAACCTGACAATTGGAGGAATCGTGTAAAGATGTGTGGAGAAGAGGGCTCTTAAAGCAAATTTGGCAACTTTGTAAATTGTTCAATATAAAATCAATTGTATTTATTAATTGTGTCATTAAAGTGAGAATTTAATTCTCCTAGTATGCTTTTTCTAGATATTTACTAGTAATATGTCATATGTAAATAAAGAAGTGTGGATTAAGGGACCCAGAAATGTGCTCCCTGTTGTTTTAGGCTGTACATGCCAATGCATCTCAGCAATGTAATGCTGGTGATCAGAAAAGTATTAATTTTTTAATATATATTTTATGTATGTGACATGTAAATACACTGCTATGAGTCAACAATGTGAAACTTGTACAGGGCTTTGCAGTGCTCATTAAAAATAACTTTCAACCTTTTGAAGCTTTTTAACTTGTTAGTTAAATTGAAAATAAAAGTTATTTGAATATAGCAATGAAAAATATTTCTACGAGTTTTTTATGTCTAACCTATCCTGAACTGAATTTATAGACAACAAAAAATTGGCAACGTGCTTCGTTGAAAGTTTAACCGGAGAGAAAATCATCTTTGCTCGGTACTTGCGACGAAAACTACAAATCCGAGGTTGTGGGAAATGCAGCGCGTCTTTCCTGCCACAATGACCATGTTATGCTTCATGTATGAAAATTCTACAGATTTCCAATTAAATCCACATTGCTGGGGAATTCGAAACCCAACAGTGGCGGGATTTTCGACCGTACTCGACACTCAAGTGTTACCAGATGTGTTTAGAGGAATTCCGCCATGATAGTTTCAGTTTCCGCCGAAAATCTGCTGAACTGGTTTTAAATTTCCCGCCTAAATCCGCTAAACGTAAAATAAAGTCTTTTTCCATATTTAAATGTTCTATTAGTTTATTTTATTAAAACAAATGATAGAAAAGGACATATGCTTATGAATGCATGAAATAGATAAGGACAATTGCTTATTCTTGGTCATAGCCGTCGTTATTGGCGTATTCGAGCACCAATATTTTAAAATAATAATAAAGGAGAGCGTAGGCTTCTGCGGCCGGAGTCAGTATTTACTAGGCTATCCGGGTGACGTCGTGTCCGTGGCGAAGGTGCCGACGTTTCGGTCGCCATTCTGCGACCTTCCTCAGGGCGTAATGCGCATTACGCCCTGAGGAAGGTCGCAGAATGGCGACCGAAACGTCGGCACCTTCGCCATGGACGCGGCGTTACCCGCAAAGCCAAGTAAATAAAAAAAGAGGACGCACTTATGTGCACCGAATTATGTCTTTTATTATTATTATTTTAAAATGTTTCTGCTCGAACACTCTATATATGTCCAGGCCTTAATAGTGAATATTTGAAATTCCGCTTGTTTTCCACCGTTTTCATTAATTTCCGCCGTTTATTCCGCTGTCTGCGAAACTATTTTTTTTCCGCCGTTCGAGTTCAAAATCCGCTGAAAACGGCGGGAATTCCGCCGATATGGCAACACTGTCGACACTAGCTAGATATCTAAGTGGAATTCAACCGCTGTCTGGAGGAGGAGAATTATCGCAGCTAGCTGCTCTGATTGGTAGTTATCCTTGGTTTTTCCGTTCAATACCACGGGAATGGCGAGGGCAACATCCTAACGACTGTCGGCCGGGCCCCCAGAGCGCGCGAATCTTCCTTCCCACATCTTTGAAAACGCACAATTTTGCGAGAATATTTTGCACCTGAAAATATACTCTTTACAATGATCATATTAGAGCCCATTCACAATGCAAACGTAAACTTAAATATAAATGATAAGACTGAAGTATTCACAGTGTCTAACATAAGCGAAATAAAAGTTTCTATTGGCTGAGACAGTCTAAGATTAGTATTGGTTGGATGTGACTTCGCTCATATTTCGATTCTCGTTTTTGAGTTAAAATACTGTGGTTAATTTCTTGTCTTTTCCACAAAATTCCATTCACAATACAAACATAAGCATGGTGTTAACATAAAAGTTAGGACTACATCCTTAAGCGGACTCATTCACAATGCGTTCGCGTAAGCATAACACGCAAAAGACTAACTTAAAAGCTTCTGTGCTTATGCTTAAGTATTATACGCGCACGTTTCCTTGAGTCCCAGGATACCTACCCCCACTCCTTTGCCCACATTAGTTGAATAAAGAATAAATGATAGCATCAAGTATTGTAGACAAAATCTGATAACCGGAAGTGTTCGCGACCGTGTAATAGAAAATATTTTGTATCGAAAAACAAACTACACATTTGATGGGCCATGGACACAGTCGATACTTCGAAGTCGATTCTCATATCCAACCAATAGTAAACTAGAATGACAGCCAATAGAAACTCTTATTTTGCTCACGATTATGCTAGACGTACTTCAGCCTAAGACTTATGTTGTTTACGTAAAAGCGTTATGCTTATGATTACGTTTGCATTGTGAATGGGCCTTAAGCAGAGAAACTTGTAAGCTTATAAGTTAACGTCTTACGTGTTATGCGAACACATTGTCAATGAAACCTCTAATGGACGTGGTCCAAACGTTTATGTCAACGCCATGCTTGTGTTTTATCTTTGCATTGTGAATGGGCCTTTATTGTGGCTCGAGGAAATTCTCAGCTCAAGCCCACTTGGTCATTGTATTTTTTCTCCTTTCTTTATTCATTATCCCCTTTCGTAATGTTGCAAGGATGTGCATGAGCTTATTAGCGAAGACGGTTTTCGCTCTTTTTCTGCGAAACGTGACCTCACCAGACCGCACTGGCCTTTTTGTTAAAAAGAAATAACGGTAATTTAACCCGTACGGTAACTACAGGCATACGGTCACGGAGACAACAACAAATTTTCAAGGTATATTTTATTTCAATAATTTTCTGCTGTGTAGCGATACTGTTGTTCTCGCTACCTACATTTTTCATCGCTCCTTAAGTCACGACTATCAGTTTCCCGCGTGGGTTCAACTGGAGAGGTGCGTGACAATTTTTAGAGCTGTCTCATAGACGGCATGCCTGAGTGAGCTGTTGAGAATGTTGTATGTTGTTAGACATCCTCATTTTCTACAAACATATTTTTGTTTTCAGTTCATTTCATATTTCTCACCGTTTGTTGACTATTCAACTACATATATATATATATATATATATATATATATATATATATATATATATATATATATATATATGAGAGAGAGAGAAAATTTGTGTTTTTAGTCTATACCTTAGATTTGAAAGAAGTGTAAGGTAATGTATTGTAACAATGCTGAAACTGCAATTGTTTAAATTTGAGCTATTTTGTCACGCAAAAAGCCGTAAAAATATTCATTCTATTGCATTTAATTAAGAAATAACTTACCGAATAGAAAAAAGTCCTTTTTAAAAAATGTATTTAAAAAAATAATTGATTGACAATAATTGATTGATGTCTCTCTGACCGCATATCTGTTTTAATGTAACAAAATTCCGTGCTTGTTCTAACGGGTTGAATGAATTGAACCCAAAATGATACTGCTATTTTTTGCAACACTGCCCCTGGCAGTTATCAGCTGTTGAGTTTCATCCAATCGGGAGCTTGAACGTCACCATCGTTACGTCATTATTGTGACGTTCAAGCTCCCGATTGGATGGAACCGTTAACAGCTGATGCCTGCCAGGGAGAGAGTTTGCATACATCGCAGTATAAGTCTGTTAATTAAGCTACACGTTCCGAATTCTTTCAAATTCAGTCATACTTCACTATGCTCATAGTGTATTTCGCGAATGTTCATTCATCACTGGAGGGGGGAGCCTATAACTCCATGACTTCTAGATTACAGAAAAGATTTGTATGCATAATAAGCAAATGCCACCCACGTTATTCCTGTAAGCCTTTCCCTTACCACTGCCTTACTTATTTACGAATAAGTGCTGTTCGATGACATAAAGAATGCGGACATCTTCAGCTAACATAGATATGTATAAATAAGACACTCGATGTATTAATCACTTAATCATTTGTCAGGGGTGTCTGTCAACAGCTCATTCCACAAATTTGGCATACCAGACATACACGTAACTACTTGACAACAAATCGACACACAAGTGTAAGTGACAAGTAAAATCTTTTCTGCTACTTAACTGGTTCTGTACAA